TTTCTGATTTTATTTATTTGGGTCCTCTCTCTTTTTTTCTTGATGAGTCTGGTTAAAGGTTTGTCACTTTTGTCTGTCTTTTCAAAGAACCAGCTCTTGGTTCCATTGATCTTTTGTATTGTTTTTTTTAGACTCGATTTCATCTGTTTCCTCTCTGATCATTATTATTTCCTTCCTTTTGTTCACTTTTGGCTTTGCTGGGTTTTCTTCTTTTCTAGTTTCCTTATGGGTAAAGTTAGATTGTTGATTTGAGATTTTTCTTTTTTCTTGAGGTAGTCTTTTATTGTCATGATTTTCCTTTTTAGGACTGTTTTCACTGTGTCTCATAGATTTTGGTCATTGTATTTTCATTTTCATTTGTCTCAAGGTATCTTTTTATTTCTTCCTGGAGCTCATTGTTGACCCATTCATTATTCAGTAGCATGTTATTTATCCTCCATGTGTTTGTGTCTTTTTCAGTTTTTTTTCTTGTAATTGATTTCTAGTTTCATACCACTGTGGATGGAGAAGATGCTTGATATGATTTCAATCTTCTTAATTTTATTGAGACTTGTTTTGTGGCCTAACATGTGGTCTATATTGGAAAATGTTCCACGAGCACTTGAAAAGAATGTATATTTTGCTGCTTTGGGATAAAATGCTCTAAAAATATCAATTAAATTCATCTGGTCTAGTGTGTCATTTAAGGCTCCTATTTCCTTGTTGATTTTTCTGTCTGGTAGATCTGTTTATAGCTGTCAATGGGGTGTTAAAGTCCCCTATTGTGATTGTATAACTGTCAATCTTTCCCTTTATGGTGTCAATATTTGCTTTATATATTTATATATTTATATATATGGGTGCACAAATGTTTACAAGGGTTATATAGTCTAGGATTGATTCCTTTACCATTATGTAATATCCTTATTTGTCTCTTATTGAGCTTTTGTTTTATTTTATTTATTTATTTATTTATATTATTTTAAGATTTTATTGGGGAACAGGGGAAGGAAAACAGACAAGTTGTTGTCTTTTTGTTTAGCTTTTGTTTTAAAGTCTATTTTGTCTGATACAAGTATTACTACTCCAGCTGGGTTTTGTTGTTGTTGTTAGTTTGTTTCCATTTTTATGAAATAACTTTTTCCATTCTTCTTTTTTTTTTAATTGGGGAATTGGGGGGATGGGAACAGTGCTGGGGAATTGGGGGAAGGGGAACAGACAAG